ATGGACCGCAATGGGCCGAACTACTAACATTACCTTGCAGGAAATTCGAGGAAGTTTTAAAAATGTGGAGGAAACTAGGAGCCCTTGTCACGCTGCTGGTGTCAAGGATTCCCGCGAACGTCCAAACAGGAAGCATCAAGACTGAGGCTGATGTGGATCACCTCTTCCTCTGCGGCATAAAAACTGTTAGCTGCAAGCTTGCACAACACCATCCCGACAGGTTTGGAGCTCCCTGCTAGAATCCGCAAAGCTGCTACTAAAATGGCCCGTTTTGCTGACCAGACGTGGATTTTCCAGTGTCAGCCGGGGGCCGATGTAAAACACACTTCAAACGCAAGCTGGTGTGCATACAAAAGGGGCCTGAGAAATTAGAAGAGGGTTTTGGGGGGATATTCTAGCACATTTAGAAAGGGAAACTCTTGGTAATAATTCCGACCCCTATAGTAACAGCTTCCTCTACAGAGCATGCCACGCTCTCAAGAAGCGGAGATGCGGAACAGTCTGCAGATGGTGCTAAACATCTGTCGAGAGCGGCTTCTCCGTGAACACCGTGCTGTGTAGGTTGCAACTTGATTTAGTACGCTTTAGGATTCGGGTATCGCCAGAACCGATGTCTTCGCAACTGCAGACATTGACACGTGGCCTTTCATGTTCGACTTTCGTTTGAAAGTCGCACATGAGCCTACAGCCTAAACCCGAAACCCTAAACCCTGAACCCTAAACCCTAAACCCAAAGCGCACGAAGCTAGGGTTCGTGAACAGGGGACTCAACGGCTAAGTACCCATGTCTTGATGACGCCGGAGTCTTAGCATCCGGGGTCTCATCATCATCAGCCGGCTTGCCACCCTGCCACTGCTCGCGCAAAGACTGGAAGCAGTGCCTGCAAGGGTTTAGGGTTTAGGGTTTAGGGTTTAGGGTTTAGGGTTTAGGGTTTAGGGTTTAGGGTTTAGGGTTTAGGGTTTAGGGTTTAGGGTTTAGGGTTTAGGGTTTAGGGTTTAGGGTTTAGGGTTTAGGGTTTCGGGTTAGGGTTTAGGGTTTAGGGTTTAGGGTTTAGGGTTTAGGGTTTAGGGTTTAGGGTTTAGGGTTTAGGGTTTAGGGTTTAGGGTTTAGGGTTTAGGGTTTAGGGTTTAGGGTTTAGGGTTCAGCATCTCAAGTCCAAGCATTTCACTAGTAGAGCTCCTTACTCCGGTTTCGAATATCGACCCACCCACCCATTGGATCCCATAACATTATGAAAATATTTTACTTCTCGTTTTTAAACAAGACGGCCTACGCGCCCAAAACGTCTAATTCTGGCGTCCCGGGGGGGGCCCGGGACACTGTCCCAGGGGCGTCCCGGGGTGTCCCGCAGGGGTCCCGGGACAACTGTCCCGGGCCTGTCTGGGGGGGCCCCGGGACAAAGGTCCCGGGAAGGCCCCGGGACACCCCGGGACGCCCCGGGACAAGCTGTCCCGGGGGGACCCCGGGACGACCCTGTCCGGGAATTTTGGTGCTTGTCCGGGAATTTTGGTGCTTGTCCGGGAATTTTTGGTGCTTGTCCGGGAATTTTTGGTGTTTGTCCGGGAATTTTTGGTGCTTGTCCGGGAATTTTTGGTGCTTGTCCGGAAATGTTTGGTGCTTGTCCGGGAATTGTTGGTGCTTGTCCGGGAATTTTTGGTGCTTGTCCGGAAATTGTTGGTGCTTGTCCGGAAATTTTTGGTGCTTGTCCGGAAATTTTTGGTGCTTTGTCCGGGAATTGTTGGTGCTTTGTCCGGAAATTGTTGGTGCTTGTCCGGAAATTGTTGGTGCTTGTCCGGGAATTTTGGGTGGTTGGCCGTGAATTCTTGCTTGTTCGGGAAGTGTTGGTGCTTGTCCGGGAATTTTTGGTGCTTGTCCGGGAATTTTTGGTGCTTGTCCGGAAATTGTTGGTGCTTTGTCCGGGAATTGTTGGTGCTTTGTCCGGGAATTTTTGGTGCTTGTCCGGGAATTTCTGGTGCTTGTCCGGGAATTTTTGGTGGTTGGCCGTGAATTCTTGCTTGTCCGGGAAGTGTTGGTGCTTGTCCGGGAATTTTTTGTGCTTGTCCGGGAATTTTTGGTGCTTGTCCGGGAATGTTTGGTGCTTGTCCGGGAATTTTTGGTGCTTGTCCGGGAAATTTTGGTGGAAAACCGCGAATCCATTAGCTTTTAAATATACATAGGTTAGAGAGGGTTTAGGGTTTAGGGTTTAGGGTTTAGGGTTTAGGGTTTAGGGTTTAGGGTTTAGGGTTTAGGGTTTAGGGTTTAGGGTTTAGGGTTTAGGGTTTAGGGTTTAGGGTTCGGGTTCCGGGTTCCGGGTTCCGGGTTCCGGGTTTAGGGTTCAGGGTTTAGGGTTTAGGGTTTAGGGTTTAGGGTTTAGGGTTTAGGGTTTAGGGTTTAGGGTTTAGGGTTTAGGGTTTAGGGCTTAGGGTTTAGGGTTTAGGGTTTCGGGTTTAGGGCTTAGGGCTCAGGGCTTGCTGAGGGTTAGGGTTCAGGGTTTCACAGTGCCCCCGAAACCCCCGCCAAAAACCCCGAAACGCCCCAAACCCCCCCAAACCCCCCCAAACCCCCCCAAACACCCCCAAACCCCCCCAAACCCCCAAACCCCACCCAGCCTCAAAACCCTTCCAAACACCCCAAACCCCACCAAACCCGGCAAAACCTCCCCAAATTTCAGCAAAAGCAAAAACAAAACTCGGCAAAGCCCCCCAAAACCCCCCCAAAACCCCCAAAACTCCGGACACAAACCCTCTACAATTTCTATAAACCCTAAGCCCAAAGCCCAAAGCCCAAAGCCCTAAGCCCTAAGCCCTAAGCCCTAAGCCCTAAACCCTAAACCCTAAACCCTAAACCCTAAACCCTAAACCCTAAACCCTAAACCCTAAACCCGCAACGCTGCCTCATGAGCGCACCATTGTAGACCACGTTGAGAAGAGACGCAGTGCAAGATGCAATCCAGATGCCGAGCATCCCAAGATCAGCCTGGTACCTTAGGGTTTAGGGTTTTGGGTTTAGGTTTCAGGGTTTAGGGGTTAGGGTTTAGGGGTCTAGGGTTTAGGGTTCAGGGTCTAGGGTTTAGGGTTCAGGGTTTAGGGTTTAGGTTTAGGGTTTAGGGTTTAGGGTTTAGGGTTTAGGGTTTAGGGTTTAGGGTTTAGGGTTTAGGGTTTAGGGTTTAGGGTTTAGGGTTTAGGGTTTAGGGTTTAGGGGTTAGGGTTTAGGGGTCTAGGGTTTAGGGTTCAGGGTCTAGGGTTTAGGGTTTAGGGTTTAGGGTTTAGGGTTTAGGGTTTAGGGTTTAGGCTGTATTCCGGTTTCTATGCAGCTGCGTGTGCCCCAGTTGCCAGGCACCAGTGAGCTGCACCACCTTGGCCAAGGCCCGTGGTAAGAGAGATGGTGTAGACCTAAACCCTAAACCCTAAACCCTATACCCTAAACCCTGAACCCTAAACCCTAAACCCTGAACCCTAAACCCTAAACCCTAAACCCTAAACCCTCTCTTACTATGTATATTTAAACTCTAATGCCCTTCGTCGGCATATTGTTTTTTTCTTTCCCCCAGGTGGGCCCTAAACCCTGACGCCCTTCGTCGGCATATTGTTGTTTTTTCCCCCTGGTGGGCCCTAAACCCTCACGCCCTTCGTCGGCATATTGTTTTTTTTCCCCCCCTGGTGGGCCCTAAACCCTGACGTCGGCAAATGGTTTTTCCACCCGGGGGGCCCCTAAACCCTGACACCCTTCGTCGGCAAATTGGTTTTTTTCCTTTTTTCCCCCTCAATGGCATTTGGGGCAGAGGGTTTAGGGCTCTTAGGTTTGGGGCATAGGGTTTAGGGCTGTAGGATTTGGGGCATGGGATTTGGGGCATAGGGTTTAGGGCTCTTAGGGTTTGGGGCATAGGGTTTCGGGGCATAGGGTTTAGGGCTCTTAGGCTTTGGGGCATAGGGTTAGGGCTGAGGGTTTGTGGCATAGGGTTTGGGGCTCTTAGGGTTTGGGGCATAGGGTTCAGGGCTGTAGGGTTTGGGGCATAGGGTTTATTCCTGGGGTTACCCCTTTTGAAGCTCCTAAACCATAGGGTTTAGAGGTTAAGGCCCTAGGATTTGGGGCATAGGGTTTAGGGGTCTATTGTGGGCCTTAGATTTCGGGTTTTGGGCCAACTGGACATTGAGCTTTAAGCCCACCAGGAAAGTATTGAGTGATCTTTATATTTTCTCAATGTGATGGGTTTCTTGGGTGGGTGGGGTTTTTTCCAACGCTTGACAAGCTGCTTGACTAGTGAATGCTTGGACTTGAGATGCTGAACCCTAAACCCTAAACCCTAAACCCTAAACCCTAAACCCTAAACCCTAAACCCTAAACCCTAAACCCTAAACCCTAAACCCTAAACCCTGTATGTCCCGTGCCAAAAACGTGTCATGTCACACTTTCGGTCAAGAACGTCTCAGTCAAAATCGCTACTCATGGGGCGCCCAAGCCCTGTACAATTTCTACTTGAAGGTTCGGGGTTTAGGGTTTAGGGTTTAGGGTTTAGGGTTTAGGGTTTAGGGTTTAGGGTTTAGGGTTTAGGGTTTAGGGTTTAGGGTTTAGGGTTTAGGGTTTAGGGTTTAGGGTTTAGGGTTGAGGGTTTACTTGAAGGTTCATGGTACTTACTAACCAATTATAACTGTACCTATAACCCTACTTATAAGGTGGGATAACCCCTTAAGGCCCATTAGGGGTATTACAAGTAGGGTTATAAGTACAGTGATAATTGCTTAGTAAGTACCATGAACCACCAAGTATGTTCCTCCTTAACGGTCTCGATCCCAAAGGCTCCTAATGGGCATCGAAGAGGCCCCCCATCACCCCAAACCCTACACCCTGAACCCTAAACCCTAAATCCTAAACCCTAAACCCTAATCCCTAACCCTAAACCCTAAACCCTAAACCCTAAACCCTAAACCCTAAACCCTAAACCCTAAACCCTAAACCCTAAACCCTAAACCCTAAACCCTAAACCCTAAACCCTAAACCCTAAACCCTAAACTACCCCCCCAACCCAGAGGCTCCAAAGGCCTCCGGTATTGGGACCCAAACCCTAAACCCTAAGCCAAAAACCCCCAAACCCTAAGCACTCTACAACTTCTGGCAGACCCGAAACACTGCACCAGTTCTAGATTCTTCCATACAATTCTCGAAGCATTCCGAAGTCCACCCCAAAAGCCAGCCGCAACCCCAAGAAGATTCGCAAAAGGCCTCAAAAACCTTCCCAAAGCAGCAGCCCGAAACTTTCAGCCCTATAAACCCTATAAACCCTATATACCCCTATAAACCCTATAAACCCTATATACCCTATATACCCTATAAACCCTATATACCCCTATAAACCTTATAAGCCCTATAAACCCTATAAACCCTATAAACCCTATAAACCCTATAAACCCTATAAACCCTATAAACCCTATAAACCCTATAAACCCTATAAACCCTATATACCCCTGTAAACCTTATAAGCCCTATAAACCCTATAAACCCTGTATACCCCTATAAACCCTATAAACCCTATAAACCCTATAAACCCTATAAACCCTATAAACCCTATAAACCCTATAAAAACTATAAAAACTATAAACCCTATATACCCTATAAACCCTATAAACCCTATAAACCCTATAAACCTTATAAACCCTATAAACCATACAAAGGGACCAAGAGAGCCCTAGACGCCTTAACGGCTCCTTTCTGGTAGAGTCCCATGGAGACTGCAGAGTTTCAGGACGATTAGGGTTTAGGGTTTGGGGTTTGGGGTTTAGGGTTTAGGCTTTGGGCTTTAGGGTTTAGGGTTTAGGTTTAGGGTTTATTGTTTAGGGTTTAGGGTTTAGGGTCCTTACTTAAGTGCTCCCTAGGAAGGAACGGTGTGCTCAGTGCGGGGCCCACTGACACGTGAAGAGGCCAATCGAGACGGCCCCTTGTCGTCCGAATGCGGCGAAGACGCCGCTGAACAGGCTGTTCGCCTGGCGAGTTTGGGGTTTTACCCTACAGCCCGAAAAAACATGATACAACCGATAAAGCCTATAAACCCTGTAAAACCGATAAACCCTATAAACCATATCAAGGGAGCTGAGCAGGCTGTTCGCCTAGTTGCTGAATACCCTGGCCCCCCAAAAAACGGTTAACCTTTCAATTATGGTAGGAGTGTTTTCTACCCCAAGAGGTGCAAGGTTGTCCACCCAGCTACTAAGTTCGCCTTGTGAGCTTGGCTGGACGGGATTCAGGATTCAGGGTGGGGTTCAGGGTTTGGGGTTTAGGGTTTGGGGTTTAGGGTTTGGGGTTTAGGGTTTGGGGTTTAGGGTTTGGGGTTTAAGGTTTGGGGTCAGGGTTTGGGGTTTGGGGGGTGGGCGGGGGGTTCTGGGGCAGCTTAAGCATTAACGCCAGTTTGATCATAGGTACCATCAGCGGCAACCCCTCGCATACACCACGTGTTGCTTGAGCCTTTGAACCCAAGCCCTAAACGAGAAAGGAGAATACACAGGGTCGACATTATGGATCTCGCGCATAGTCATTTCAGGCCCTGACGCCATCTGCCAAGATCTGCAGGAGCATGAAGGGAAAGGCACCTTGGCTGGACCAACATGCAGCTTTGGGGGTTTAGGGTTTAGGGTTTGGGGTTTGGGGTTTGGGGTTTGGGGTTTAGGGTTTAGGGTTTAGGGTTTAGGGTTTAGGGCTTAGGGTTTAGGGTTCAGGGTTTAGGGCTTCAGGGTTTAGGGTTTAGGGTACTGATGGTCCACGCTGTGTCGGCTGGCCGAGTCTGCCATGTATATAACAAATGCTCACAATGCTACTTGGAAGAAGTCGCATAACTTTAATTGCCACACTTTTTTCAACAAGAACTTAGAATTTTGGAAGGTTTCTGGGTGCTTTTCTTGGGGTGTACTTACTGGTTGAGGGCTTTGCTTGCTCGCCCCACAACACTCGCGCCCTAAACCCTAAACCCTAAACCCTAAACCCTAAACCCTAAACCCTAAACCCTAAACCCTAAACCCTAAACCCTAAACCCTAAACCCTAAACACTGTCAATGCCCGCCTAAAACAAGGAAACGAAACCAACCGCCCAACCACCTGTGCCCACCCTACCCTGGGAAGCTAGCAAGAACGTGCTAGCCTGGCCAGGGAGGACGCGCCTGCCCTAAGGCTGCAGGCATGATCCAACAAACACTAAACCCTAAACCCTAAACCCTACAGCCTAAACCCTAAACCCTAAACCCTAAACCCTAAACACTGTCAATGCCCGCCTAAAACAAGGAAACGAAACCAACCGCCCAACCACCTGTGCCCACCCTACCCTGGGAAGCTAGCAAGAACGTGCTAGCCTGGCCAGGGAGGACGCGCCTGCCCTAAGGCATGATCCAACAAACACTAAACTTTAAACCCTAAACCCTAAACCCTACACCCTAAACCCTAAACCCTAAACCCTAAACCCTAAACCCTAAACCCTAAACCCTAAACCCTAAACCCTAAACCCTAAACACTGTCAATGCCCGCCTAAAACAAGGAAACGAAACCAACCGCCCAACCACCTGTGCCCACCCTACCCTGGGAAGCTAGCAGGAACGTGCTAGCCTGGCCAGGGAGGACGCGCCTGCCCTAAGGGCTGCAGGCATGATCCAACAAACACTAAACCCTAAACCCTAAACCCTACACCCTACACCCTAAACCCTAAACCCTAAACCCTAAACCCTAAACCCTAAACCCGCTGCCCGGCGGCGCATGAACGCCTCTTGAGATGCGGCCTCGTCGGACAGGAGCCCAAGTGCCAGCCTGGCAGCACTGCGGTTAAGGGTTTAAGTTTAGGGTTTAGGGTTGAGGGTTTAAGGTTTAGGGGGCTTTATGAGCCCCAAAACCTCGTTCTAATAATCAAGGCCCCTATAGTAGCTCTTGAAGACCGAGTCAGGATTCAAATTCAGCGCCAGAGATGCGAGCGGGGGCGTTAGATAGGGCCCTTAATAGTTAGAATAATGCAGTATAATTATCAAGGGACCATAAGGAATACCATTAGCAAGTATTCTGCCTATATTAACGCTTCTAAGGGTTCCAAACAAGAAGTCAAGGAGCTGACCACGCCCAACCCAGCAGCACGCCACAATCATTCCGCACATGGCGGCTGTCAGCTGAGTGCCAGCCTGCTCACGTTGCACAAGCAGGCAGAATGCCTCAACCCTGAACCGTAAAAGCTAAAGTGCACGATGTGGGGGCGCCTTCAGCGTGCTGGAAACCTGGGCCAAGTCCTTCTGGCCAGTAGCGGCTCCAACCAAGGCTGTGGCAGCTTTGGAGACGCCGCGGGACAGCAGGAATGTCCAGTTTGAGACCTCTGACAGCAACAACCCGCATGGTGGTTACGAAAGTAGGGGACCTCCCAATTTAAATCTCGAAATTGGATCCCCTTAGAATAGGAACCCCAATAACCTCCGAATTTCGGAAAGCCCCCATATGGTTTTGTAGGGAATATACGGGGTATAAAAGGGTTCCCCCAATTTCAGGGCCCACATTAAGGGACCCTGCAACTACCCTCAGATCCTGGCAATCAGATCATAATTTAGGGTTTAAGGTTTAGGGTTTAGGGTTTAGGGTTTAGGGTTTAGGGTTTAGGGTTTAGGGTTTAGGGTGATGTCTGTCAGCTGGGCACTCTCCCGCATGGACGCACAAAGTTGCAGCTGGGGCGCAGTCGCCATGGCAACGTGCGCCTTGGGCGGGCTCCGAGCTACGCTCTCTCTCTCTCTCTCTCTCTCTCTCTCTCCCTCTGAGAACCCTAAACCCTAAACCCTAAACCCCAAACCCCAAAAAACACTTCAGAGCATGACTTCTCTTTGCGACCTCGGCGCGGCCAACTCGCTCTGACTCTGCAACCCCCCTGCCAGAAGAGTGAGGAGCTCGAAAGCCCACCAGTCAAAGCCCACCATGGCCACGTTCGGCACACCGATTGCAGCATATGACAGCAGTCCTGCTGTTCAGCAACTGGGGGTTTCCGATATTAGGGGTACCTTATTGGGGTTGTTGTAAGGGGATCCTACTGTTTAAGGGACGAAATTAGGGGGGTCCCTTATTTTCGCAAACCCCCAATTCATCTTGTTGGAGGCGCATCTGGACCTCGTATGTCCTCTTGCAAACTGCCCTTTCACACGGCCCTTCCGCATGTCCCAAACCCCCTCCTTACTCCAAGCTGTAAAGAAGGTGTTTGCTTCTTCGAACCCTGGATAAGCCAACAACGCGCGGCTAAACACCCGGAGGATTGGGGCAACGTTCTCGTGTTTGCGTTGAGAGGGATGGCTCTGCCAGATGGATCCTACCTTAACCTACCAAAACCTACTTTTTTGTCGGGTCCGTTTTTTTGTCGGGCCCTTTATAAATTTCATATGAGGGTTTTCCTACTTAGAACCTACAAAAACAGGGTTTGGTAAAATCAGTTTGTCTGAAGTCGTTTTCCGGCAGCAGCAAGGTGCGCAATCCTGGGCAGGTTTGCGGCACCAAGGCAAGAGTGCTTGCTTCTTCGTCTTGCGGTGCCTTTTTGCTGCGGGTATGGGGGCGGCGTACTTTTTTGCTGGAGGCGCGAGGGGGCCTCTTTGTTGGGGGGAGGGGGGGTCGGTTTTGTTTGCTGTGGGTTTCTGGCTGCGATATCACATCTGGGAACCCTAAGCCCTAAAACCCCCCCCAAAAACCCCCTAAAACCCCCTGAAACCCCCCCAAATAAAACCCCCCAATACTCCCTAAAACCCCCTGAAACCCCCCCAAATAAACCCCCCAATACCCCCTAAAAACCCCCGGAAACCCCCCCCCCCCCCCCAAAACCTCACACCCTGGACGGTGAACCCGGTACCGGTAGCTCTTCTTGAAGAGGAGTCCGCTAGCTACTGCGCAGTTCAAGGTCCAGGGTCTAGGGTTTCGGATCTGAAGGCCGCCCCCATGTGCTCTGGGGGGAAATGTTAGAATTTAGGGGTTAGGATTGGGATTGGGGTTAAGAGTTTCGGGTTCAGGGTTGAGGCATAACCCCAAAGTCCTTTCCAGGTGAAGGCCGATGACTGCCAGATTCGCCACCAGCCCACACAGCTGGGCGTGACATGAAACCAGCTCATGTAGCCTCACTTCTTGGAGGTTCATGGTACTTAGTAACCAATGATAACTGTACCCATAATCCACTTCTAAGCCCCTTTGCCCTAGTATGGTTAGAAGTACAGTTATAAGTTACAGAAGCAGCTAATATAGGGGTCGGAATAATACTAATCATATTCCCTTATAGTCCTTTTGTACTTATACTGCAATAACCCCCAAAACCCTATTGTCGGGCGGTGCCCAGCAACCTAGGGTTAGGAAGGGCACCCGCTTTTTGCTTAACGGGTTAGAATGGCCCTTAAACCCTCTTAAAAATATTACAAAATATGATCCTGTTAAACCCAAGAAGGGGAAATAAACAATTTCCCAAGGGCCTACCTAGTAAGGGACGAACTAGCCCCCCCCCCCCCAAAAAAAAAAAAAAAAGGATGGGGGTAGGCACGAAAGCAACTAGCAGGTGCTCTGATAAGTTCTTCACGGCCTAGACAAACGAGCACGAGCTTGCCAAGCATCTCTTCGATAGGAATGTGCACCAAGCCCCAAGTCCTAAACCCGTCAACCCGTAAACCCGAAACCCCGAAACCCTAAAACCCCTAAACTCTAAACCCTAAACCCTATATTCGCAACCAGAGGTCCGCCAAAACGAAAAACCGGGAGAGCGACTTACACCCTTTTCAAGATTACAGTACCCTAAACCCTAAACCCTAAATCCTAAACCCTAAACCCTAAACCCTATATAAACCCTAAACCCTAAAACCGGCCTCCCAGCAGGAAGAAGGACACCGCCGACTTCACAGAAAAGGCGATGCCCAGGGAGACCACGGGATCAATGGAAGACCTCGGTCGGGGTCTAGAGCCTAAGCCCTACACCCTAAACCCTAAACCCCAAACCCTAAACCCTCAAACCCTCAAACCCTCAAACCCTCAAACCCTAAACCCTAAACCCTAAACCCCAAACCCCAAACCCTGGGGTCTCGGTAACCCCTCCTCATCACCAATTTGGTTCTTACGGCTTAGCTAGATACACGTTCCTTGGAACCGTAGTAATCAACATTTGCTGGGGCTTATGTAACTAAACAAAGTCCACTCCTGGCCCAGAACCCAGCCCTACAGCTGGAAACTGAGACCCAGGCCACTCGAGGAGCAGAACGCTCATGGCCAAATGGCATGGTACGGTGGCGACAAGGACCCAAAAACCTGTGGCTGTAGGGTTTAGGGTTTAGGCTTATAACCCTAAACCCTAAACCCTAAACCCTAAACCACATCCGGGCACAGTCACGCTGAGGCCATGATGTCCTAAACCCTGGAACCCTAAACGGATGGTGTCCGAGCGAACGCTGGACGGGACAGCAGGAAACTACATTAGGGTTTAGGGTTTAGAGTTTAGGGTTTAGAGTTTAGGGTTTAGGTTTTGGGGTTTGGGGTTTAGGGTTTAGGATTTAAGGTTTAGGGTTAAGGGTTTAAGGTTTGTTGTGAGTTGATCCATAATCCTCAACTCAGGGGTATTGGGATCTGTGGATGTGAAGAAACCACGGAACCTGGCGAAGAGATCTGCTGATTCATCAAGAACTTCCTCAACGAATCATACCTTGAGTGCACATGCGGCCATGCACTTGTGCTTTAGGTTGTTGTTCTGCAATTGTTACATATCACGAACAGAATATGGAGGCTCTGTCAAACTTCCGAGCAACTTGAGACAAAGCCAGAACGAACTCCCAGCAGCAGCAGCAGCAGCAGCAGCAGCAGCAGCAGCAGCAGCAGCAGCAGCAGCAGCAGCAGCAGCAGCAGCAGCAGCAGCTGGCAATAGTTGTAATGTACTGCGATAGGGCACGGCATGTGGCGTGCGGAGGCCCAACGAGGCCCACCTAAACCAGAAGGGCAAGCATGGCATCAAGAATCAAAGGCAGCTGGCGTTTCTGCCCTAGGTCATAGTCATAGATACATCGTACCGATTTTGGGGGTTCCTATAGCGAGGATGTCCGTCTCTTGCTGGGCGGGGGGGGGGGCCTGCCGCAAGTGGGTACGTAGCTCCAACGCTCTTTTCTACAGTCTGTTACACCTGTGGCCACGTCATCAGCATGTCAGGACTGCACAACAACACGCGGAGACCCACCACATAAGGCGTGTGTTGAGAGAGTAGATGTGGGTATACATACCACCACACAGCCAGGCTCAATTGTGCCAACGATGGCACTCAAGTGATGAGGTGAGCATGGCTCTTGCTGCGAAGCGACTGGAAAGTGAAGCAAGCTCCAGGAATGCTTGCAATCACATGCCTTATTCAGGGTTTAGGGTTTGGGGTTTCACGTTAAGGGTCGAAGAGTTTGGGGGAAACCCGAGCTCAAAACCCCTCGAACAGAACATGCCAGAGACTCTGCTGGGAGTTTCCGAAATTAGGGGTAGCCTTATTGGGGTCCCTCTTATGAGGGAATCCTACTATTTGGGGACTCTATTGGGGGTCCCTGATTTTCGAAAACCCCCTTAAACCGTAAACCCTAATTCCTAAACCCTAACCTTAAACCTGTCTAAACCCTAAACCCTAAAGCCTAAACCCTAAACCTGTCGAGAGGGATGCCTCGCAGTATCAGCAGCGATCTGCTCGCTCGCGCATCCGAGCCAGAGAAGCAGGGCCTGCGCGTTTGGGGTTTAGGGTTTAGGATTTAGGGTTTAGGGTTTAGGGTTTAGGGTGTGGGGTGTAGGGTGTAGGGTTTAGGGTCTAGGTTGGAATTTAGGGTTTAGGGTACATCCGGCCTCTGTCTGCCAGAGAAGCACGGAGGCTGCAGCAGCGAACAGCAACATCCAAACCAGGCAGCAATGCAGATAGTCCCTGGCTTTCTTGTCATCCTCTTCGCCGTAGGCTTGCGAAACCAGGGTGTCCTGGGCACCTCGTGCTGGGCGGCCGAGACATGTTGATGCTGTGCTCCCATGAGCTACTTGACTGAGGTCGTTTATCGTAGCCACTACCTCAGTAACTTTTGGCTGAAGACGGGTCACACAAGATACTGCTTCTCACGTGCCCTCGTCCCCCACCAAGCTGCACAAGCCTGAACACTTTTCTATCGGATAAATATTCCTCCGCTTGTTGCCTAGCTAGTACACGTGTCGTAGCGTCGTACCGTAGGGGACATTTTTGGGCTGCGAGCTCAATTCTACAGGGATTCTAAATTGGGAGCATGCTGGTCATTTCATACGCTCCGGCATTGCGCAAGCTGAAGGCAACGAACCCCAAACCCCAAACCCCAAACCCCAAACCCTAAACCCTAAAGCCTAAACCCTAAACCCTCTCCCGGCCTGCCCAGCCTGCTGCGAAGGTGTGGCAAAAGACGGCCAACACCGAACTGCCGAGCCCCACGGCGCCAACTCTCCTTGTCGCCTCCTCTGCATCCTCCCAGCTCTCTACAGACCAGCTGTTTAGGGTTTAGGGTTTAGGGTTTAGGGTTTAGGGTTTAGGGTTTAGGGTTTAGGGTTTAGGGTTTCGGGTTTAGGGTTTAGGGTTTAGGGTTTAGGGTTTAGGGTTTAGGGTTTAGGGTTTAGGGTTTAGGGTTTAGGGTTAGGGTTTAGGGTTTAGGGTTTAGGGTTTCGGGTTTAGGGTTCGGGGTTTAGGGTGTAGGACTTTCAGTAGGAACTGAAAGCGCCCAGTGAGTCGCATGCTTCGTCTCGCTTCGTGCTCTCCGTAGGAGCTTTTTGGGGCTTCGCTGTTTCATGACCGAATCCTAGATATAAGAGGAACAAACACCACAACCTTCTGAACCCCCCAATAATATAAACCCTAAGCCCTAAGTCCTAAACCCTATACCCTAAACCCTACGTAAACCCTAAACCCTAAACCCTACGCCCCAAACCCGCGCAACGTCGCCGCAGCCAAGTATCCGGGCTGCCCAAGTGTGCAGCTGCCCAAAACGGTACAAGCGTGGCCACTCCTCGCTACCGCCCTACACCCTAAACCCTAAACCCTAAACCCTAAACTCCAAACCCAGAATTCTGGAGCGTGACACCCTGAACCCGAGACAGCTGGTGGGAGGCCTTTGCCCTTGACCTTAAAATCCCTAAACCCTAAACCCTAAACCCTAAACCCTAAACCCTAAACCCTAAACTCCCAAACCCAGATTTCTGGAGCGTGATACCCTGAACCCGACTATGTAGGGTTTAGGGTTTAGGCCTAAAACCCTGCAGAAACCGCTGAACCTCCTAAAGCCCTGAAACCCAGAAGTCTCAAAACCCGAAAACCCCCTGCAGCCCAAAAGCCCCAAAACCCCTTGTCTCCCGCAGCCCTGCAGCCCTAAGCTCCCTAAGCCTCTAAAAGGGCCCTAAAGCCCTAAACCCTGAAATCCCAAAAAACCCCCCCAAAAGCCCCGTAAAGCCCATAACACCCCTGAAACCACAAAAAGCCTCAACGGCCTAAACCCCTGAACCCCGAAACCCCGAAACCTCGAAACCCCTAAACCCCTAAACCCACAGACCCCCAAAGCCCCTAAACCCCTAATCCCCTAAACCCCTAAACCCCTAAACCCTTAAACCCCTAAACCCCTAATCCCCTAAACCCCTAAACCTCTAAACCTCTAAACACCCCTAGGCCTGACCCTGACTTCTGAGGGTCTGGCCCTCGAGAGCGTAAGCTCCGGTAACTGGCCCTGCTAGTCGCAGCAGTCGCCTGGAAAAGACCGGAATGTCTTTTTGAACTGGGTTTAGGATCTAGGATTTAGGCTTGTGGGGCTTTTTGGGTTTGGCTAACGTTTAGGGTTTAGGGTTTAGGGTTTAGGGTTTAGGGTTTAGGGTTTAGGGTTTAGGGTTTAGGGTTTAGGGTTTAGGGTTTAGGGTTTAGGGTTTAGGGTTTAGGGTTAGGGTTCCGGGTTTCGGGGCTTTATGCGGCTTATGTGTAGGGTTCAGGTTCGCAGGGCGTCGGGATGTAGGCCCTTACAGGGCTTGAGCGCGTTTGCATGTGGCATGTGCGGGTTGATTTAAGAATCTACATGGTGGACCCTTTGGGGGGAGCGACTCTATGCTTATTAGACTATAGTACTATGCGCTATGATGTTACATTATCTTTTCTTAAGGCTTATATGGGGGTTTACGATTCTGGGGGTACCCTCCTAGGGGGGGGGTGCTGCTTAAACTATACCCCTATTATAGGAAACCCCATATTAAAAGGTAGATCAACCCGCATGTAGCGCAAGTCTCCTCACAATCTGGCATCTCTCATCTGCTGGAGCTTCGGGCGCTTCGCTAGCCATGGCAAAGCAGTTCCGAGAAGCTTAAAAACACAACACAGATCGTGGGCATATACAAATGTGGGGTTTCAGGGGTTTAGGGTTCAGGGATGTACGGTTTAGAATTTCTACAACCATCCTACAACCCCAAGCCCTATGCAATCCCGGATAGAGAGGTACGCTCGGGCGCCGTTGGACAGCATAAAGCAGTTGTCATGAACGTGCTCTGCTCTCGGCGTTGACCCTGTAAGGCCTACATCCCTAAACCCTAAACCCTAAACCCTAAACCCTAAACCTCTAAACCCCTAAACCCCTAAACCCCTAAACCCCTAAACCCCTAAGCCCCAAACACGGGGGCGCCCTGGAGTTGAGGAGTTGGAGCCACAAACATTCCGCGGAAGGTGCTTCAAATCTCAGGCCCAGCAGCGACCGCCTGCGACACTAGGGTTTAGGGTTTAGGGTTTAGGGTTTAGGGTTTAGGGCTTAGGGTTTAGGGTTTAGGGTTTAGGGCTTAGGGCTTGGGGCTTAGGGCTTAGGGCTTAGGAGTTGAGGGCTTCGGAGTTTGGGGCTTCGGAGTTTGGGGCTTGGGGTTCCTGAGTCGGCTCCTTTGCTGAAGCAGAGAGAGAAAGGCCTTCGGAAGACCTATGGCCCATGGCCTTTCTAGGTCCATGAAGCACAAAAAAAAGGCAGCCTTCTCTCCGTGCCGCACATTGCTTTGCCTGCGACGCAGTCCTGGGGCGCCGTCCATCCAGCACCTCCTTTGCATATGCGACATGAATACAAACCAAAAACTTCCCAACCACGTTCCAAACGCTGTTCTCTCTGACAGTTCCTGGCTGCTTGCAGCGAATCTTCTCCTTTCACTGCAAGCGGTTTGGATGGGTCCCTGGCAACAGGCCTTCGCAAAGTTGTCGAACAGCTCATCGCCCGCTGCCCGTTTGATCTCCCAGGGCTGCAAGTATGCCTCCTCTGGCTTCGGAGTGTCGCGAACCTCTTCGGAGGCTTCGGAGCGAGTGCACCCACCATCGATGTCGAGGAGCCAGGCTTCAGCAAGAAGCGATTCTCGTGGAAGAGCTGGAGATCTTCGACAGCAGCGCAGATCCATCTGCCGACGTTTTTTGCCCACGCAGGCAGGGCACGCAACCTAAATGGCTACTGAACTGCAGCCCAATGTGTGGCCGCCTGCTCGGCAGAAACTCCCACGGCACCAAAACGTGACTTGGACAAACTACGACCCTCAGAGGTACATAAATCCCTTAGAAGGGCCAGAAAGGGCGTCTGCTGCAGGCCCGCACAGAAAGCGAGCTGCAGCTGACCATTCTCGTTCTCGCGCCAATACTCCACTCGGCTCACCTAAGAGAGGGGTGGGACGAGATGCTTCAAGGCTGCAGTGACCGACACTTGCAAGCCTTCCCCTCAATTCCAGCAAGAGTGCCCCACAGTTTGCGACAAGCCACAGACTTCAGGAAGAGCAGCATCGGCTCACACTCCAGCTGGAATTGCTGAAGCACCTCCTGCATCCGCTCGGGAGACCATACCAGCTTGGAGAGGTCCGAGTAGCGGGCATGCTCTGCTGTCCGCAAGGGGAAACGGAACATGGTGCCGTGGAACTCCGCGGAAAAGCAGCACCTGTGCTCCGAACCGCCGAACCAAGCCACATGGCCCTGATACCCGCGCACGCTGGCATCCGCCACAAAATTCCAGCGCCGTGCAAAGGCCCGCTCGCCATCCTTACCCAGGAGCATGCGCTGATGCGGATCCATTATCAGAAGCTTCCAGTCAGACTTGCCGGTCTTGGAGGCATCGCTCTGCTTCGATGACTTCCCGATGTTCCGAATCGCCTTGAAGTCCGACTCAGAAAACTGGGCGTCGTTGAAGGCGTACAAAGCCCAACCCGAATAGTCATCAAAACCCTGGTGCAGATACGATGGGTGCCCGCAGCCATTGTTGGGGATGCTTTGCGGCCGCGCGAGGAGGAACTTCACGACGGTGGCTCCGGCATCATCCGCATTCTGCACCAGCTCACGTAGCGACTGCGTGCCCGCGGGGTAGTCACGCAGGACTCTGCCAATCCTTGCGCTAACACGCAGATTAGGTTCATGGGTGCATATAACCCCAATTTCAAGTCTACGTATAACCTACTTAGGAGACTTAGGGGCCCTTGTCCCTAGACGATGGTTCATGAAGTTGACAACCGGAAACTCCCAACACCCCATATCTTGCCTACACCACGCGTGATGCTACTGTGTGATGTCTTTGAGCTCACGATGGTGCTAGCCGCAATAGAAAAACACATCAATGCTGCTCGCAACGATAAGAGCAGAGCCGGCAAAGCTAGAAGCCTCTCAACACCCCCCTTTTTCGAAGACAAGGTCGCTCCCCCGTGATCGAGTGATCGCGAGTCAGGACTTCGCCATCTGCGATCAGCTCGCCATGCCAACTTTCCACAGCCACACCTTTCGTTTCCGAGCCGCAGAATCTGGGGGTTTGCGAAAATAGGGGATCCCTAATATAGATTTTCAGTAGTAGGATCCCTTATCATTAAGGACCCCAATATAAACCCCCATTTCAGGTCAGTGGCACTGCAATCTGACTTGTGTCTGTTGGATGAGATCCAGAAACAACGCCAACTAGACTTTGGGCGCTTGACGCTTCTGTGCACATCCCGCCTGTCTTTCTTCGCTTGCTGTTGATGCCATCACTCATGGTCTCAACAGCAGAGCGAAGCACGCAAGCAACCGTTGACAGCTTGAACAAACACGGCTGTCAAAGCACCCAAGCAGCAGCGGAAGTGGCACGTGCATGCAACCGGTGTGGAGCTTCGGGTTCCTGGTTAGCAGGTCCGAATATTCAGCTACCTCAAGGGCCTACAATTCACAGACCTGACCCGGTGAACTGGTACGATATCCTGAGCCTCGCAGAGCTCACGCTCACACTTTTCCGCTGGCCGCACTTCCGCTGGCCGCACTCTCGGAACCGCGTCGATGCGTTGCGACCGCTGGCCTCTCCAAACAATCGTCAAGAGAACGGTTGGAAGGCTCGGATGCGGCGAGCTTCGTGCAAGCGTGTCCCTCCAACCCACAGAACTCCGGCGTGATAAACCTAACCCTTACACCCTAAACCCTAAACCCTAAACCCTAAACCAGCAACAATCTTGGGCACGCCTCTCATTCTGAGGGTCGGAATACTTCGCTTGAGAACGAAATTTTGTGCAATTTGGAGCACAGAACTTGAAAAGGAAACACACCAAGGCACCCACCCTGCTCAGCTCAGAGGTTCAGAGGCTCAGCATCCCTAAACCCTAAACCCTAAACCCTAAACCCTAAACCCTAAACCCTAAACCCTAAACCCTAAACCCTACAGCCCCTATGCCTTGTCACAGATCTGCGCCGTCATGAGGGAGCCCGAGAGCACCTTGGCCTGCGGAAGCCCCAGCTGCCTCGCCATGCAGGCCGCGACGTGCGCCCGCGACCCGGTCTTGCAGCTGAAGATCACATCCCTCGACTCCAGGTCCTTCTGGGAGCTTGGCTTCTTCTCAAGTAGGGAAGGAGGGAGGTACCCCTATATAAATCCCTTAAAGGGGTAGAAACAAAGGCCCTTAAGAGGTACATAAATCCCTTAGAAGGGTATGTATAGGGCCCGAATTCCCCCTCATTCCCTAGTAAGAACCCGGTCCTTGAGGAGCCCGGGAAAGGCATCCCGAAGCTCTCCAAGGGGAACCTGAACCTTGGTAGCCCGGTCACCATGTTACCATCAGAGCGCCAAACATGTTAGGGTTTAGGGTTTAGGGCTACTTTATAAGGGAACCTTGAACCAAAAAAAAGGGAAAAAGGGGTACTACTGAGCTACCAAGGAACGATCTGAACCTTGGCCGCGCCAGTGGGAAGGGGCCCATCCTCGGAGATCTCGGAGCTCTCGCGGACGTCCACCACGACGGCAGGCGTCGACAGAGCATTCAGCTGCAGCGGTGTCAAAGTGTCCGCGAGCCCCACCATGATGTTGCCGGCGATCATTCCCGCAAAGTTGACGGGGTCACGTGCCGAGCCGTAGGGCGGGGCATAGCACAGCTCCAAGTCTGCGAGTTCATTGGCAGGCATGCCGGTGTGCATCGCTGTGCTGATCACGTCGATCCGCTTCTCCACGCCATCCTTGCCGACAGCCTGGGCCCCGTAGATCTTGCCGGAGGAGACCTGCGCATGTGACGAAGACCAGAGCAAGAGCAACGTAAAACCGCGAAGTTACACAGAACCCTAAACCCTAAACCCTAAACCCTAAACCCTAAACCCTAAACCCTACGCCTCAAAGAGAAGCTTCAAGTGGATGGGCTCGGCATTGGGGTAGTACCCAGCGTGCTGGTTCGGATGAAGGTAGACAGCCTGCCGGGACAACCCCTATCGTCGTGTGCGAAGAACCGCACAGTTTAGCAGCGAGTTTCTCGCTGTAGCAGTCCCGCGACACTTTTGACTAGATGAAAGGCCCATCACACACAGATTGCACATGATCTAGAGCCTAGACGTGAAAATTCTGAAGCCCTCTTTGGTACCCTAGGCCCGACTCTCGTTGTATATGTATACACATATATGCAGATTCTGCCAGCGTAGAACCTGTAAGACCACCTCAACCGCATTCCAACTAAACCCTAAACCCTAAACCCTAAACCCTAAACCCTAAACCCTAAAGCATAACCCCAAAACCCAAAACCCAAAACCCAAAACCCTACACCCAAAACCCTAAACCCTAAACCCCGCGAGCAATCCAAGATGACCGACTCCGAAGGTGCCCCCAGAGGCTCAAGAACATCCGGCGCTGCTTCTAGAAACCCACAGAGGGGATGCCAACTTCGCCCCCAAAAACCCAAAGCCTTTCCCCCCTGAACCCTAAACCCTAAACCCTAAACCCTAAACCCTAAACCCTAAACCCTGAACCCTAAACCCTAAACCCTAAACCCCAAACCCCAAACCCCAAACCCCAAACCACCGCCGCCTTGTATGGCAGGTCCAGGTTCCTGAGATGCTTCTCATTCACCCCTACGTTCGCGGCCGTGAGGTCGAAGACCTTCACTACCGAGGCGCCAATGGTTCCGCGATACCTCCGTTTAGGGTTTAGGGTTTAGGGTTTAGGGTTTAGGGTTTAGGGTTTAGGGTTTAGGGTTTAGGGTTTAGGGTTTAGGGTTTGGGGTTTGGGGTTTGGGGTTTAGGGTTTAGGGTTTAGGGTGTAGGGTTTAGGGTTTAGGGTGTATAGGGTGTAGGGTTTAGGGTTCAGGGTTAGGGTAGAGAGTGGTTCAGGGCTTGGGCTTGCAAGGTTTGGGGGTTTGAGGGTTGAAGGGTGGGTGTTCAGGGTTTTAGGGTTTGGTGTTTAACGGTTGCAACAGTTGGGGTTTTGGGTTTAGGGGTCACCCCGAAACCCTAAACCCTAAACCCTAAACCCTAAACCCTAAACCCTCAGGGCGTGGGGCTTGGCGCTCACGTCGTAGGGTTGAGAGGCTCGGCTTGGTAGCAAAGATGCCATGGCTTATGGCCTTGTTACCGACTCCCAGAACCTGCTGACTACTTGGAGGTTCATGGGTACTTATAACCCTTAACCCTAAACCCTAAACCCTGAATCCTAAACCCTAAACCCGAAACCCTAAACCCGAAACCCTAAACCCTAAACCCGAAACCCTGAACCCGAAACCCTAAACCCTAAACCCTAAACCCTAAACCCTAAACCCTAAACCCTAAGCCCTAAACCCTAAACCCTAAACCCTACTCTAAACCCTATGACCGAAGTAGGGAACTCAGGGAGCTTGTAAGTACAGATATTATTGGGATTACAAGTGCCCATGAACCTCCAAGTATTGGTTCTTAGGGCATGAGGGGATTTAGGATTTAGGGTTTAGGGTTTAGGGTTTAGGGTTTAGGATGTAGGGTTTAGGGTTCCATGAGGGTTTGCGGCTGAGGGTTGTTTAGGTACCCTTATATCTTGCATGAAGGGCCTCCCAGCAGTGGGGATCTTGGCCAAGTGGTCGGCACAGACGCGGCCTTGGCGGTTGGCCGGGCCGCCCAAGGCAACGGCCCAGGTGTGCGCATCCCCGAGGGCGGAGTTGCGAACTTCCACGGCATCTCCCACCGCCCAGACATGGGGGTCGCTGGTCTGCATCTTCTCGTCCACCTGCACTGGGGCTTCTACGGGTGGGTTTTTGTTAGGGCTTCCAAGGGGCCCCTCCTTTCGAGGAACAGTTGTGGTCCGTCCGTAACTTCACAAAGGGGTGGAACCTTGATGTGTCCCCGCTGGGTGAGCTCGATGCCAGCGTCACCGACGAACTTCGTGACTGGACGGACCCCCATGGCCAAAATAACCAGGTCTGCCTTCAGGGTGGTGCCTGACTTCAGCGTCACCTGCGACGCGGCGCAGTCTTGCCCGTCCTCGAAGGAAGCGACGGGGTCTGAGAGGTGCAGGCGGATGCCTTTTTGCATCAGCTCCTCATGAAGGTACCTAGGAGGGCCCTTAAACCCTCTGAAAACTATTCCTAAACATCATCCTCTTAAACCCAAAAACGGAAAACAACGACTTTCCCAAAAGGGCCTACCTAGGTACTGAGCCATCTCCTTATCCAAAGGCGCCATGACTTGGTCCATGGCTTCGATGACATGCACCTGCTTAGCAGCCCTGTAACCAACCCTCAACCCTAAACCCTAAACCCTAATGCCTAAACCCTAAACCCTAAACCCTAAACCCTAAACCCTAAACCCTAAACCCTTTTTTTGGGTTGGTTGCTTTTATAAGGGAACCCAGAACCCAAAAAAAAGTATGAAAAGGGTACCACTGGGCTACCAAGGCCTGCATGCCTCGGTTCTTCAGCTGCTCCGCGATCCTCCGATGGCCCCATAAAGCAACCCTAAACCCTAAACCCTAAACCCTAAACCCTAAACCCTAAACCCTATAAAAAAAAAAGAGCAGGAGCCTCTTAAACCCAAGAAGGGAGACGTGTAAAAATGTCCCCAAGGGCCTACCTCACCTAGTAGCCCTAAACCCTAAACCCTAAACCCTAAACCCTTGTAATCCTACCGAGTCTCTCTAGGCCGATGAACCCTCCGCCACAGACCACGACCTTGGCGGGATGGCTGACGGCGATCCAAGACTCGATTGCCGAGGTATCTTCCAAGGACCTTCAGGGTTTAGGGTTTAGGGTTTAGGGTTTAGAGTTTAGGGTTTAGGGCTCAGGGTTTTAGGGCCTAGGGGGTTATTGAGGGTTTATTTTTAGGGTTTAAAATCTATACGGTTTAGGATTTAGGGTTTAAATCTATAGGGTTTAGGATATAGGGTCTGGATCCATAGGGTTTAGGATTTAGGGGTTAAAATCTATAGGGTTTAGGATTTAGGGCTTTAAATCTAGAGGGTTTAGGAGTTAGGCTTTAAATCTAGAGGGTTTAGGATGTAGGCGTTAAATCTGTAGGGTTTATGGGGTGTAGGATCTAGGTTTAGGGCTTAGGGTGTAGGGTATCTGCCCTAAAGCCTAAACCCTAAAGCCTAAACCCTAAACCCTAGACCCTAAACCCTAAACCCTAAACCATCTAAACCCTCAACCCTAAACCCTAAACCCTAAACCCTAAACCCTAAACCCTAAACCCTAAACCCTAAACAAGGCTTTAGGGCATTCTTGCCTCAAGGGGAAATGACCCGGCCGATCGATGCCCGGGATCGCCTTGGGGATGATGGCTTCGCAGCCGACCGCCAGCACGAGCTCGTCATAAGCCTCTTCTGTCTCGGCACCTGTTTAGGGTTTAGGGTTTAGGGTTTAGGGTTTAGGGTTTAGGGTTTAGG